GGAGCGTGGACAATTGAACTGGATCGGCACAGTATTGACGACGAGAAGGATTCAGTCAGCTTTGTCCTTTTGTGACCCTCGAAGGAGCGACTTTGGCAGGTAACTTTTGACCTTTGCGGTTGCAGAGAACTCCGCCGGGGGCTCAGAAGGACTCTTCTCGCTGTCGTTTTCGTTTGCTGTCGCGTTGGACTCCGATCCTGTGGCTGATGATCGGAGGTGCACTAGACCGGCTACCCCGCTCGCCACGCCTGTTATGGCCGAACTACCAGCATTGACACCGGTGCGCAGTACGCCGAAGCCCAGGGAGACAGCGCCTGTAGCGCCAGACCACAGAGTTGACCCAACAGAACTCAAAAGTTGACCAGTTTTAGCCACCACGCCCGATTGAGAGGGCGGAGGTGGAGATGTGGCTTGTTGTTTGCGGATTGGTGTTGCAGTAGGAGATGGTTTAGCGACTGAAAGAAACCGCAGCACATTTTTAGGAAAAAATGCAAATAAGAGGGAGCAGCAGAATTTCGTTTTCGTTTTCTAAAGCCCAATTTCAACACATATAGATTTAACAGTAAAATGAAGATTGATCAGTTCTATTTTGAAGTTAAGGGACTAGAAATAAGGGCATGGGGTTGCAAACTGCAGGTTACAAAGACTAGATATTACTAGCATAAACAGAATTGAATAAGCAAACCAGAAAGTAAGAGATAGGCAATGCTGTAAACGACTGTTAGCTTTATGTAAATACACGATGTTCTGACTGTGTAGTCGAATTTCTCAAATAAACTTCGTAACCTGGTAGCTCCTAATTTATCATGCACATTTTAATGACTGACTGTCTGCTTTCGTTAGTCTTGCAAGTGCATGAATGAAAAACTTTCACAAAGTCCACACTTTACGATTTAACCAAGAAACAATATAGACGACAGCTAACTATCTACAAAGCATGCGCTAAAGTACCATCCAGTGCGCACATTGCAATACCGATGGGCCCACGCAACCTTCTAAAGTCAAAAAAATGACGTGATGATAGACATGTGCTGCTTTCCAGAACGTGCTCACTCACTTATTTGAGATGCATGCTTTACATTGCATAAACTTCTGGCAGCCAGTGGCGCAAACTTAGGAATACATTAACACCGCAATAAAATCCGATACGGCTGTTTTACGGACTCAATAGGTAATTGACTGAATGATAGTGGCTGTGCGACGGTTGCGACAATTGTAGCTCAGAGTTTAATGTGTACTAAGACAGTACGTTGGTTAAGAGTGGTTTGGTCTGGCGAGAATCAGTTTGACCTGCTGGTGTGATGACCTACTGTTACGCTAAATTGATCTTCGGGCTGTCTCCTGATAATTGTAAGTTCATTGTAATCCTTCTGGTCCAATTTCCGCGTATGTAGTGTCGTAGGGTCTGGTAAGCCAGGGGGTCAATGAGGCTGCTGTTTGAACTGACATCTTACAGAATCAAATCAAGATGAACGCAACCTGAAGACCAAAACTGTGGCCAGTCTGTTTACACTGCATTACATATGATGCCTGTACATGCCACAATATGTGCGTTTTCAGCTTCCCGTGGGTCTATCGGAGATTTTCTAGATTTATAGTTGCGACAGGTTTTCGTCTAATTGATAAGCGATAGTGAGACGTTCGCTTGCAGTACATTGCAGAATAATATAGCCTAAGTTTCATAGGCCATTTCAAACCCTTCTGAAGTTCAGCAATAAAAAATCCGTCGTGGGAACTCTGTGAATGAAGGGTACGTTTATCCAAACTTTCAAATGCTGCCGGTGTTTATTTTCCCGCAAAACTGTCTATGCCCGCTGAAGAAATTATAGAAGTGGATCCGTTCGATCCTTCGGTCGGTTCGTCTGCCGCAGTGAGACTTCTGGGGAGGTTGCAGCCCAGTTCAAACCTACTGCTGACGGATTTTCACAATACTGTAGCTTTCAGTCCGCCAGTTGCATATCAGTATGCAAGAAAGACGAGGCAAGAAAATTAGTGGCTTGTTTCCTTTTTTATCATAACTTCGACCAATGAAACACAATAATTACTTCAACTATTCTGTATAATCCTTTTTGACGATGAAGGAGTAGGTTAAATACCAAGTTCAGAGTATAGGTCTGTATTTGGAAAAGATCAAGAAGTCTATCAAATGAATGACGACTTAGGAAGTCAAGCAAAAATGCCAAAGCTACTGGAGTGTCTTTAATTTGTTCACTCAGCTGTAAATGTCGGAAGAAGTATATTTTGATGTTATAAAGTAAGTATTCGGGTTGGTTTGGGGCCTTAAAGATTGTTTTCCAATCATAACACTCAGCTATAAGTTTGCACGCAGATTCAGCACTGATTTGCAGTGAACAGATGCAAGGAGTGAGATAACACTAGGAAATACCATTAATTCTATTTGATCTTTAGGTGGTCCCCGCTTTGATAATGGACAAAAACCCCAACTGTTCACAAAGGTGGTTTGTTCATAAAAATATTTTTCAGAAGCCGTTTTTCCAGAAGTCCATTCATCTCGAAGCAAAGGTAAGATCTTCTTGAAAAACGCCCATAGTAAAAAGTAAATGGGAACTGTCGTAACAGAACATATTAAGCTTCGAAGAGAACTGGAAAAGTTTTGGTCAGAAGTACGTACTCTTAGTTCGAGTATTTACTTCCTAGGAAAGCAAAAAGGGCAGAAAGAATATCTATAATAGAAGGAGTCAATACTGCTTGGCCGAAAAATGTAATAACCATGGCTAAGTTTATTTGATAATTTATAATAATGAATGCGGTATTGTGTAGTGTAAACTGCGTAGACCAGCATAAATTCTAATCTGTCGTCAACGAAAAATTTAACATTTATGTAATAAACAAATTTGTCTTCACATAGATAAGACTATTTCTATATGATTTTGCAGATGCCGCTACTAATAACTTTCAAAAAGAAAAATTGTTGAGATTCTTCCCTGATGCTGCCATACATGAAAAAGATTTAACTATTATCGCGAATCTCACTATATTTTCGCAAAACTCGGAAAGAAATATAATCACAGAGGAAATTTTTCAAGAACCTGCTTGATGAGGCATATGCGATATCAAGAAGTGAATAGTTATATTAAACGTTTGGTACCTGAAATAAGAGATGGTTCATCGTATTTTTGGAGAAATTTTTTACTGAATATGCCTGCGATAAGATACCGGCCTGCTTTTCTGTTCAATAAACTACTTCGTAGGCTTGGTCAACATATTGGCTCAGCGAGCCTTCGAAGCAGTATGGACGACAGTGCTTCATGCATGTACAAACATTATAGAACATTACAATGTAAACGGCACGGGTAAACGTAAAATGACTGGCTAAGCTGCTTGACAGGGACATAGACATACATATTTTCTACACAAATAAAGTCATAAACAAAATAAAACGTGACCAGTCAACTACTAATATGTTATTTGAGGCATTAAATTTTTGAAGGTTTCCCAAAACTCCCAAAGCTATTTGGATTTTCCTGTCACTTACGTAAAACCCTGAGAATAAAAACTTTGCAAAACTCTACCCCAATTTTTTGCTGCACCCAATGCGACACGTATCAAATTTTAAACTTATGAAAAGTTGTTATGAAGAACTACAAACTCGAATTATTTGTATGCAAAAAATCGCATGTCTAAACCGGGGAATACTACATTTCAATGTAAATTGAAACTAAAAACAAGCAAGTTAAGGATATTAATTTCTACAAGTAACCTGTCATTTTAGAAAAGCATAAAGCTGCCAAGTTCTAGGTGGTTTACGTCAGTGCATTTAGTTCGTGTACAATCCTGAGATGAAAAACAATATTAATGTGTCAACGAGTGTATCTAAGCATAAATAAAAAGTCCTCCAATACTATGTTAATAACTCGGACGAATTAGTAATATAATTGGTAATAATGACCAAGTCACTCAAGTAGAAAAAGTAACCCCGTGAGAAATGTGTAGCAGCTAGAATATATATTTATCCCAAA